CAAACTCACTAAAAATCAATATCAAGGGCGGTTCGAGAACAGCGCTAGCGAAATAACATTCGGATGACCTCAATTATTAGTTTCCATACAGGGGAGGGGGGAGGGAGGGGGGTGTGGTGCGATTCACGCGTCAATATAATGAGGTTAAAAATAATTAGGTTGAGGCCGAAACGCGTTAAAACGTCATGCCTACAAATCATACTGGATGAAATAAGAACTTATAAGTAGAATAAATAAAAAATGGCAACTATGCACGTTTACAGAAGGGTTGCGTTTTTAGGATCGACAAATTTGAGTTATTCTTTTGAAGTTTGACAAGTAAATTTTAACCTATGAGGTGAATTCCTAATCTCGAAGGGGCTTCATTGCCATAGCAAATAGATTTGCTCTAGTTCTTGGTAAAGCCGTGGACTACTGCAAATTTATTTGGTCCATCTCAACAGAAAGGTATTGAAATGATGCTGCGTGCGCGAAGGGCTCTAATGGAGTCACGCGTGAACCGCGCACCCTCGAGGGAGGGGGGAGGGGTCGGGTCCCCGGGGTCCCAACACATATAAAAACGTCGTGAAGAATTTTGTTGGGGTTCAGGGTGCCGAAAAACAGTAGTCGAACACAGGTCAGCTTCATCGCTCTGCTTCGTTTCCCTTAAAATGCTCTTTTTTAAATTTGACAAGGAACCTATGAATCACAATCCTCTTATATATTCGACTTACAGGCTCCGGAGAAGGCGATTCCGCCTTAACGTAAACTGCGTATAAAGCGTTCTTAACCATCTCGGAAGCTATCAATAAGCCAACTAGCAAAGAACTCGTGTGCTCCACTTCTTCACCCTAAATGGTGTCGCTGTAGAATGTCACTCAATGGCCCAGCCTCCTCGTATGTAAGCGTTTCTAGTTTTCTCACGTACGATTTTAGACAAACAACGAACCCTCGATTAGTAGTAAAGTGTAAATGTACTCTTCAGGTAATTGAGATATTCATCATCTGGAACTGTAAACACACCAAATTAGGAAATGTTTGTGAACGGGGTCATAAGAAATCCCAGTGATTATCAGAAAGACAGGATCAGCATTTATTAGATCATCCGAAATCTCGATGGAAGTGCACAGCTTGACAAGCTTGACACAGCTTCCAATAAATCTGAGTTCACCAACAACTTGAGGAAAAGACGCAGTATAGGAGACACATCTTATGTACATGGGGATATTCAACAAAAAACACTAAGTTATTAAATTAGATTTATTTCCCTTTACGTGCTTTTTTCTCCATCTTCTCATTCATATATGCTGCCATTGGATCTGCTGAGTGGATAGCGGTGAGCTTGTATGCCTCTTGTTCTGCTTCAGTCAATGGTTTGTCGTCGTAGGTGCTGTTATACTTCCGCTTACGGTCACCCTGAATAACCATCTCTCATTTACCTTTCAAGAGCAGTAATGACATCCGATGGCGAAAGGGTTACAGTATTCCTTAAACGACACGATAGCAGTGCTTCAGTTAAAACCCTCTTCAGTTCCAACCTGTTTCTACCTTAGCACAGTTTTATGAAGGAGTTCACCTTCAACTCATTTAAGTCGTATTATAAAAGACATATTTTCAGGTAAGGCCTCTATACATCATTTTATGATCACCGGGAGCTGAATGAAACGAGATCCCAACCTGGAGATATTTTTGACGTCCTTCCAAACTGTCTTTCTCAACTTTACGCAAAGCCTCCTTCAATTCTTTCTTGTCGCCATCTTCATCACTTTCGGAACTCGAACTTGAACTTGATTCGGAAGACTCCTTAATTAGGTTATTAATTAGATTGACTGATATTAATCATTACTTTCACAGGTTATGTAACAACAGTTGCTCAGCTTGTCAAAGCAGTGAAACTTCACACTAGAGAGACAAAAGTGTAATAGCTAATCGTCACCTTCTTCACTTTTTTTGGCCGTTCTCCTGCCTTTTGCTTCCTTCTCTTTCGCTTTTCTCTCTTCTTTTCTCGTCGCCTAGCCTCTTGTTTCCCTTTAAAAAAATAATTTTACTCTTTGAATAAGTACTCTAATGAAGCCGCATATCACGACGCGTTTATCCTAGAGTGATCTAGCACTCAAGGCAGTTCAGAGAATTTCTGAACTGCTCAGCAAATGGGTGATGATGGCAAAACGGTAGATGGAGTCAAATTGATCTAAAGCCTTCTGCTGCCTTAAGTGAATGGAAACAACGGCGAGTTTTCACNCTCCTGCCTTTTGTTTCCTCCTCTTTCGCTTTTCTCTCTTCTTTTCTCGTCGCCTAGCCTCTTGTTTTCCTTTAAAAAGGTAATTTTACTGGTTGAATAAGTATTCTAATGAAGCCACATATCATGACGCGTTTATCCCAGAGTGATCTAGCTATAAAGCTGGGTGATGATGGCAAAACGGTAGATGGAGTCAAATTGATCTAAAGCCTTCTGCTGCCTTAAGTGAATGGAAACAACGGCGAGTTTTCACACATATTCTGGGCTCGAAAGCACTAGAAACAAAGAAATAGGATGGACTAATATTGTGTTCTGAACGCCAATCACCGGAACCCAAAACGGAGGCAGCATCTCACTGAAGACTATGTTTTCTGGAACTCTAGGGCTCGGGAGGGAAATATGCTTTTCAAAATAGTTATGCAGTAGCTCGTGTTGAACACTAATTTGATAGAGTTCAACGACGACAGACATTTTTCAAAGTTAAACTTCCCAGCTTTCAGCATCTGGACTGAAACAGTAACAGCCTCCCACGTGTTAGCAGTCGAAAAGGTTTTTATCTAACTGAACACTGCAGCTGTTGCACGAACAGGCATCCCTTATAGCTTGGGAAGGTAAGAGATTTTTCGGAAACAGCGGTGAAGAAGTTAAGGGCGGAACTGATGATGAAACTGAGAATAAATTATGACCTTAAAACTTCGGAAAACGAAAAAGGGCTCATAGTTATGGAAACACACACACTATAAAAGGACTGGCGGCAATCGACTTGACGGATTCTGTACAGCTTGCTAAGCCTATCTACGTGTAAGTGCCTGTGTCCTGTCCTGTCTGTCTGAAACGCGTAACTTTTCTTGCCTTAGCTAAAGACCACTCAATGCACTGGTTAAGAAAATTTAGTACATGGAGCTTAATACAGTGATTTCCTATCAATATGCATGGCCGTGAACCTTGCTGGTCAATGAAAGTTTATAATAGAAAAAATAGATGACGTACTGCGTTCCCTTTCTCGCTCCATTTCTCTTTCCTTTTCCGAATCTTCAGATTCGCTTGATGATTCCGATGAGGAGGTATCGGAACTTGATGAAGATGATTCTTTCGCTGGCTTTTCTTCATCTTTAACGGAACTTGTTTGCGCTTCCTTTTCTTTCACGACCGTCTCTGAACGAAATATAACGTTTTTGTCCTCCAAGTCGAAATAGCAATGGCTAGTGGTAGTAGCCACATAGCCCTTCTAGCAAATTATTTAAAAGTAGTCGTTAAGCCAGGCTCAATGAAACATGATAGACCTTCTTTCTTCTCAAGTGGCAATGTTGGCTGTGGTGCTCGTTCAGATTTGAGGCCTTCTTCTCCAATGCAATACGAATTCTTGACAAATGAATGACAACACCTGTAGCCCCACAATCCATCTTTCCAATAGGAACCGAAAATACTTGTATGGTTCATTGGGTACCTGTAATTACACAAAATTCATTAGGTTTCCTAGCAAACAAGACTCTTTTGGAGTCAAACAACAATTGCTTACACATCCTCTTCGTAGCGACTCAGAATATGAGCACGTTCAGCACCCTTTAAGACTTTTCCTTTTCTGCTGTATTCNTTGTATGGTTCATTGGGTACCTGTAATTACACAAAATTCATTGGGTTTCCTAGCAAACAAGACTCTTTTGGAGACAAACAACAATTGCTTACACATCCTCCTCGTAGCGACTCAGAATATGAGCACGTTCAGCACCCTTTAAGACTTTTCCTTTTCTGCTGTATTCAACATATTCCTCCGTTTGAGCAAAGAGTAATTCCTTTGGAGTAGACTCAAGATACTCGCTGCCGCCGTATTTTTCCAGCAAAGCCTAAAGAAATGAGAATTGGTGAACGGCAAAAATGTTATATTTTACGACAGACACTGCCGATGGCCAACATTTTGAAAGAAAAGAAAAAAGTATGGAAGAGGGTAGAATGGCTCTTTCAAGGAACCTTCGAAGGCCTTGAAATTGCAGCCATCTACGATAAGAGGATGCTTTTCCTTTGTATCTGTACCGGCTGGTGAAATATTGACTGCGAAATTATAACGGTTAAGAGCAAGTGCATATCAAAATGCAAACAGTAATCAGGAGTGAGCGAAGAACCATGCTCATTCGTCACAACACCAGAAGCGAAGGTGCCAAAAAAAGGTTTAAAGGTGAAAAAAACCTACTTTTTTCTGTTCATTGTCAGTGCTGGCTTTCTCCTTATTGAATTCCCTCTTTAAGGCTTCCAGCTTGGTTGGTTCGGCAAGCGCATGGACATCAATGCCCTTACAACGCGCTTGCCACGCAAACACTTGCGCTTCATTGGCTGCGACCACCTCACCAGTGTACCTGAAAAAAATTTTAATTAGCCCTTGCGTCGGAGCCATTTCTATTTAAATTCATCTACTAGCCCCTTCAATGCAAGACTTAAAAATCAAACCCGATTAGTATCTATATTTGCTTAGGAAAGGGAAGACAAATTGAAGGACATCGTTTCAGTGTCAGGAGAAAGCAAATCTAAAATCCATTCATAGTATTGANTAAAAATGAATAACTACGATTTGGCAATGATGTGGTTTAGTTTACGAACGTCTGATTTATTAAATACTGATCTGAAAAGCAGAGATGTCTCCTGCTTAAAATATTCCGAAAATACTTTGCACAGCAAAGAAAAGGCAGCCTTCTGACATTCAAAACCTTTGAACGCGCAAAACCAAAAGACTGAACAGCAAAAAGTCCGAAAAGCCTCAAAACACCCATAACCTTAAAAAACTAGCATGGAATACAAAGTATTTTCCCACGAATACTAGAAGAACAGAAACCGTTCGCGAAAATAAGCAAGGCCTAGAAAACCAAAATGTGTGCGCAGCTAAGCAAACCGGGGTTCTCGGAAGCTTCCGTTTCACCGGTACGCTCGAATAACAGAATTGCTAGAAGTAAAGCTGTTCCTGTGGTGAAGTATAAAGTAAACTGACAAATGTTCTCACAAACAAACGATCAAGCCTATCTGGATACGTTATACTCTCACAAACAAACGATCAAGCCTATCTGGATACGTTATACGCAGAATGAAAATAGGCAACATACCTTATAAAGTTTTCACCCGCAAATTTGGCTGCTTCCTTCTCCTTACCCTGCACATTAGCGAAAGGATTTTCTCGCATAGACCGAGACTTAGGATCATAATATGGAGAGTTTTCAGCAAGGTTGAAAAGGTATTTTGCGGTATCTTCACGAATTCTCAAATTTCGGACCTGAAAGCGCAAAATACACATTAAAATGAAAGAAGTTTCAAAGGCTTCAATTATGAAGTGATACATACTGTTATTCGGGTTCTTGAATCCATATCCACAGAAACACCAGCCATATCAGCGTCTTCTGCGTACTTGTCGTCATCAGCACCTTTCTCTGGATCAAGCAGCCCTGCGCGAATCTTAACATTATTGCTTTCCCGATCTGTGTCAATGAATCAGGATGGTACTTAAAACCCAAGAAAAAAACCTGGCACACCTGTTCTGCTTTGATGGCCTTTCTTGTTTCCTCCAAACGCTCGAACTCTGTTATGACCTAAAATACAACAAGTTCTGGAAATACTTCATTTTACAATCAGCATGAAAGTGATAACATTAATACCTGTTCATGGCTGCTCGGATCAAACCCATTCCATCTGTCCCTCTTAGCATCGAAACCAAGCAAAAGGTTTGGCTGCACATGGTCATCTGGCGCAATATCGTCGCCCGTTTTACTGAACAAATCAGAATTACATATATTCGGTTATTTCACATCAAATTCAAATAAAAAAGTCATCACCATAATATGGATAGACACTTAATTAGAACTACTGGCAAGATGTAATCCAGCGAACAATTACCAAAGCTATTGCAAATCTCACGATATAATTTCAACATGTTCCAGAATTATGCATCTGCTTGGAAACTCAATAAGCAGTTTGAATGTTATTACCGGAACACAGTCGTGGTCGAAAAAAAAAAGAAAATTCGACGTGCACCAATAAGTACCTACAGCATACGTGACATTTTCGAGCTGAAGCAGTTTCAAAATTTCATCAATCGAATAAGTTACAACGCCGCTTCTTTCTAGGAAGAAAGCGATCCTTAGATCAAACTGAAACGATTAACGCAAAAAACGTACTTTGCACCAAGCTTCCTTGGACGTTCGAAGCAGTCACGTTTCACATGACCCATAGCACCACAGTTTTCACATGCTCCTGAAGTTCAGTAAGAAGTTGAACATCATGAAATTCCAAGCAGAGCGACAGATGAAAAGCAACAAGTGAAATGCTCCTTCGAAAGAACGGCAGATGGCGCATTTTGAGAACAAAAAAAGGAAGAGATGGCAGAAATTTTGCCTCAGTATTTTCATGAAATTTGTAACATTCCCTTCTATTGAAATGTGCAATACGCAGCGCATGCCCTACCTGGAAGCTTTCGGCAATTCTTTTTCCCTCGAACTTTACTTTGCAATTCGCAGAAGAAAGGAGAGCAAGATGTTTTAGTATTTCCAAAAGTAGTAAAATAAACAAAATGAGGTATAATGCTTGCAACAAGTTTTAAGAATGGCCAAATTTGAAACAATCCTTTGCCCTGCAAAAATCTTCGATTCTGAGGAAAGGACTATCAAACAATTGGAAAGACTCTTTTTTACGGCAACCCTAACCATATGCCGGCGCAAAACTATTAAAAGTCGTGAAGCACAAGAATCAATAAAACTTGATTTGAAGCCATGGGTGAGAATATATTCATTGTAAGACTGGAGCAATTATACACACCTTTTCGGAACTTGGTAGCAGCCTTGCCAGTAGTTCCTTTCTTATACCACTTATCGATAGTGGCCATATCCTTCTGTCGTTCTGCATGAGGTCTTTGATGCTGCAACAATTCAGGAATAAGCTAGACTTCATCAGTCCCACTGAGAAATGATGAAAATTGTCTGTCAAGGCAGAAATCAAAGAGGCAACATGATACCTGAAGTGTTGGTCCATCACTAGGCACATACCAAGGATTTTGTGAAATAAACTGGGGAATGTGGGGATTAATGTCTCGTCCAGTTTGCACGTCAACCATGGCAGGCGCTGTTCCAGCTTTACGTTCTTCCTAAAATGTAGGATCACACTCAATCACCTCTGGTTAATATAGACAGGATACAATGAGCCCAAATAAAACGGGCATACCTCAAGATCTTTTTCTTTCCTGTACTCAGTTCTGCTCTTTTTTTCTGTCATATCATCGCCTCCTTGGCGTAAAAGTGCCGAAGCTGGCACCACTTTACGGAATGAGGCCATTTTTGGGCTCTAAAATGTAAATACTTATAATATTCTACTAGAATGAACTGGAATTTTATACACACACAAAATAAATCATTTGCCGAGCAGTGATGAGACTGTATACTAGATAAAGAGTGTCTACGGCTTTTTTGAGCCTGAGCTTGAACTAGTAATCTTTGATGAATAGAAAGCAAACAATTCTTAGAAAAACAGTGGATATTTAGCCTACGGTGAATAAGTGTTTAGTGGAGGTCTAGCTGATAAATCTAAGCACCATAGAATGGGAAAATGAGTATAAGAAAAGCTGCTAGGAACAAGCACGTTTCTCAACCGATGAGGCAAATAACTATGGCGTGAAATTAATTCGACGTATAAAAATATCGACTCGAAATTAAATTCTACGTGGTCAATCATTTATTCAATAAAGTTAACAAGGAAAATGGTAGTATCTGCTAGAGAAGCTTCAAAAACAAGCTGGAGTAAACCAAATCATACTCAAATAATTTCGATTGAAACTGAAAAGAGAAATCACCAGCGAACCAGAGTGAAAATAAATCAAACACATAACCAAACAACCAAGACGAACACTAATTATGAACACGCACCTAAACGATGCTCATTCCGAAAATGTTACAAAATGACGTCGATTGCAGTGTAGTGCAATTCACATACACTACGCTCCATGGTGACGGCTCCTCGAAAAATTTTCATTTTAGTTTCATACAGGAGGACGTTCCCTGAGTTAGATGTTTAACTCGAGCGATTCTATCGAGAATTTTCTCACCTTTGCAAACCGTAACAAAATGAAAGGATGGAGAGCTCTGCTGTGGGTCGCTGGTCATCGTTCTATCGAAAAATGGGAATGTAAAAGCATAAAGGAGAATAGTTTAAAGGGTAGATATTTCCCCTTTGGCTGTTATTTTTAGCAAAAATAGCGGTACTATTCCACTATTACAACCCCAAAAACTCAAAATTTTAATTTTCGATGAAACTTCGCCT